CCTCCAGCAACATATTGTAAATATAATCACAATGAACATGGACTAGCAGATGTCTCTAGAATAGGATATGGACTCCCTTTTGTATATACATGGAAGTGGTACTGCTGTGGGATATTCTGTTTGTTAAATGTGTTGCTCTGATTGGTTAATAAATACAATACTGATTGGCCAGTAGCCAGGCAGGAAGTATAGGAGGGACAAGGAAAGAGGAGAATTCTGGGAAGTGGAAGGCTGTGTCAGAGAGCTGCAGCCAGATGCTGCCATGAAAAGCAAGATGCAAAGTACCGGTAAGGCACGAGCTACATGGCAACTTATAGACTAATAGATATAGGTTAATTTAAGATATAAGAACTAGATAACAAGAAACCTGCTGTGGCCATACAGTTTGTAAGCAATAAAAGTCTCTGTGTGTTTACTCGGTTGGGTCTAAGCGGCTGTGGGACTGGTGGGTGAGAGAGATTTGTCCTGACCATGAGCCAAGCAGGACTGGAGAAAATCCAGCTACAGCTGGGTCATATAGCATATCTAGAGTGACCTTTGTGAATAACCACCATACTGATTTTTAAAATTCTTGTACCAGTTTGCATTCCCTCAAGACTTGAAATGGAGTTCTTTTTCCTCTTATCAACGACAGCATGTGTCATTTTTTGTTTTTTGTTTTTTCACCTTAGGCATTTGGCTGGGGTGATATGAAATAAAAAAAGGTGTAATTAGCATTTTTTCAATAGCTAAGTATGTTAAACATTCTTAATTTTTTGTTAGCAATTTGTATTTTATTTTTTGAGAATTCACTATTTAGTTCTATGTCTCATGATTAATATTTAAAAGATAAACCCATTAAAACACTCTTTTCCTTCCTCATTCCAATCACTTCATGCCCCCCACTTACTCCATCTCAAATTGATTGTCTCTTGTTTGTTTTTTTGTTATTACTGCATTTACATTTATATGTCTATGCACATAAGTATTTAAATATAAGATGCTGAGTCCATCTGGTATTTCATGTACTAATATGATTTCAGGGCAGACCACTTTATTTTGGATAACCAAGTAGGAGGCTCATGCCTGGAAATGAATAATCCTCCTTCTCTCAATAGTCAATAGTTTCCTGTAATACTTTGTCTAGGGATAGATTCTCATTAGATTCCTTCCCCCAACATTATGCTAGTATGCCGACTGAACATGTTTTCTCTTTCACCCGAGATCTTGCATAATGAAAATTTTGAGGTCCAGCCTCTTAATTTCTTTCCCAGGGGCCTAGAAGAGACATAACTAATGGCGAGGAAATGAATCTTGGTACACGGAGCTCTTTTGTCCAACTCGTTTATTCGCCTGCCACCATAATTCTGCCTGGTTCTCTGGGGTCTGGTCTATATCTCTCCAAAAATGGCAACAACCTTCATGTCTACAATATAACACAAGAATTACGAGGTGCCCACCAGAAGCTTTCTGGTTAACTTCATTTGCAACTCAAAGGGGGAGGAAAAAAGAGTTAGGTAGAAGCTGGAATAAATCAGAAAAGGAATTTCTAGGCTATAAATATATCCTCATCTGTGGTTAGGTGAAGACATTACAGGTCTATCATGAATGTGCTCAAATTACGGACTTACAGGTGATGGGGTAAAGAAATCTCTAAGTCACTGAATTTAAAACTGCCTCTATTTTCCTATGTTGCCAGTTTTTGACAGGTTTGGGGAGGAGTGTTGACAGCCAGTCAATCTGCATACAGCTTGAAGCACCTGGTGAGAAGAAAACCCTTTGTTCTCAAAAGTTGCTGTGGGGCAGTGAGGGGAGATCTGAGTTGATTTGCACCAGAAGTAAAGCTGTGCACCTAGGAGCCAGGCACTTGGCCAAGGAGCCAGGTTGTCCACAAAGAATGTTTCACCTTAGTTCAGGGGCTTCAGGTGCCTAGAAGGTGGTCTGGTCCACTATTCTGTTCCTTGCTTGTCCTTCAATGCTTTGTTTGGAGCTGGTCTTGTCTTTGGATGTAGCTAAAGGGGATATTTGTAAAAGGCAGATACCCAATTCAAATGCTATAAAAGGGAGCAGGGAGCTCAGAGGCAGAAGTTGCTAGTGATTTAAATGTTCCTGGGGAGCCTCCCTAATCTTTATAGGTGAGCTCCTAGGTAAAACTGCAAAGGTTTTAGGCAGAAGAACTCATAACTGTTGTTTTGAGGCATTTGCTGTTTTGTATTTTAAAAACTATTTATATTGGTCATTATCAGAATGATGGAGGTTGCTGTGGATATCGCTCTATATAAATAAAGCACTGATTGGCCAGTGACCAGGCAGGAAGTATAGGCAGGACAAGGAGAGAGGAGAATGGAGGAAGGAGGAAGGAAAGGGAGGCTGCCTGGAGCTGCTGCCAGGATAAGGAAGATGTAAAGTACCGGTAAGCCATGAGCCACGTGGCAAAGTAAAGATTAATAAAAATGGGCTGAATATAAGAGTAAGAGCTAGACAATGATAGGTCTGAGCTAATGGCCAAGCAGTTTAAATAATGTAAGAGTCTGTGTGTTTATTTTATAAGTGGGCTCCAGGACTGGCGGGAGCTGGAGAGAAATCCTCCAGCAACAGGAGGTTGTTGATATTATAAATTGTTCCTCTTTCTAATAGAAATAGGAACAGGTTTTGGTCTCTAGGTAAGAATTATGGTAATTGCATTCAGAATGGCAAAGACTGACAACAAATGCTGGAGAGGAAGTGGGGAAAAGAGAAACGTCATGAGCAAGAAGGTGGATGTGCATAGTTAGTATAACAAATGTTATACTTTATTATGCTGATGGCCATCACACAAGGTTTACAGTCTGAATTCCTAACTTCGGTCCTAAGCCCATTACCCCAGGGCTGTGTGCAGTGTATCTTAGCTGAAGGTTATGTCCAGTGACAGAAATCTCTGATTGGAGGTCAGGATCCTGGTTGAGACTCTCCAGCCACAGTGCAGATCTCCAGATGTGGAGAGCCAAACATTACTTTTTGTTTCTGCTTATATATTGTCCAGTGGGCATCACGGGGTTCTAGGACTGTTATGTTGAGTGAAGTGATTGAATTCTGGTTAGTTGTAGAGGGGTTCCTGACTAAACTATTTTTACCTGTCTAAAGGATATGTATGTTTTTACTATGCTCATTACAATAAAGCTTCTGATTCAAATATGCTTGGTCATGAATAACAAATAATACACCAGGAAGCCTTGGAATTAATAATAGTATGGCTTTTTCTTGGGCAAATGATAAAATGCAAAAAAATAATAGTTTACCCTGTACAAGTTATTGGAAGCAGAGGTATTAAAATAGGAATCTCAGAAAACATACCCAGTATTAAAGAAGTGCCTTGTTAACCAGTATTAAAAAATATTGTTAGATAGTGTTGAGCAACAAGAATCAAACAAAAGAAAGCTGAATAGAAACTGTATGTAAGTTAATGTAATAAATAGTACTTCCTAGGTACAATCTGTTAAACTGAACCTTAGAGAAATCACAAGGCAGTCTTCATATATAATACATGGAATCACTACTAAAACTATGCTTTTGTTTTTTAGTTTTTAATGAGTATATGTAGGCAATAAAAAGAACCAGCAAACACATGACAAGACATCATCAAATAGATGTGTACAGCATTCAGTATAGCACAACTATGAAATCCCTCTTAAAACTATGATGCTCCAGCTTAGTATAGAGAGATCTTTACCCAAAGGGTTCACTCTATCCTCTCTCCATAGATGTACATCCCATTAGCACATGTATAGACATGTGACCACTATACTTAAAAGCTGAACAAACTATTACATCCTAGCATCTTATTCTGTAACAGGCCTGGTTTGCACATTACTTGTCTTTGGGTGTTTTAGAGGCAGACCCCACCCGCCAGCTAAATTCCACTTTGTATGATTTACTATGCCCCAAGAATTGCTAAATCCTTTATATCACCAATTCTACTCTTCTACATCACAGCTCAGTAGAGGAGTGCTAACCCAGTACATGAGATACCATTTGTAATCTCCACAAAATTAACTCCAAGTGGATCTTACACATCAATGTCAAATTCAAAGTGCAGAACTTCTAGAAGATACTTGACAAATTATGCCTCTCTCAGCTTTCCAACCTGGGTAGTCTTTGGGAGGTTTCTCTAAGGCCCTGATGTATAAGGGAGGCGTGTGGGGCATTTATCTACCAACCCCACAGCTCCCCAAAGTTTTCTTGAGTGCAATCAGCAGGAAATATTAGATAGAAGGATTTATTGCGGAAATAAACAGATAGAAAATAAAGGAGAGCCTCAAAAGGGCCTGGAACCTTTTTCAATGGGCCTTGACTGTCTCTGGCCCAGGGTTTTTATAGAGATGCCAAAGGGTGGAGCAAAAGACCTCCTCCCCCAGCCCAGCCAAGTGCAGACCATCTCAGACACCTGCACTCAAGCCCGTGGCCCTAATCATCCTCTATGTGGACCTGCTGGGTAAAGCCACGAGGAACCTGAAAACGGGCTCCCACAGAGGGGGAAAGTTCCTTCTCTAAAACTAGGAAAGAGAGCTTGGGAGAGCTGGTAAAGGTCTGGGACCACCGCCTTTGGGAAGGGTTTCTTCAGATCCTGAGAACCATCTCTTTCCACACCTGGGCTGTGGTAACTGGTCCCAGGCATTGTGGACTTTTTAAAAATAGTGTTCCAGAGATACCATGTTCCTCTTGTGCAATATTGTCAGATTAGCCTCCTTCTGAAATGGAATGCTTCCTTTTCAAACTGAACTCATTGTTGTTGTTTTTTTTGTTGTTGTTTGTTTGTTTGTTTTTTTAATTAACTAGAGACTTTCTGTGGAATTTGGCACAAATTTCCAGCCAACCTGGGATACATTTGTGCTTCAGTTGGAAGCTAGGGCAGGGAAACACTGAGCTGAGTCCCTTCAGCTCACCCAGTCCTGTCACTCAAACCTCACTAGCCAATTAGGGCCTCTAGTGGACCTGCCAGTCAGATGGGAGGGTTCTTCCTCTAGGCAGGAGGCTCCTGGCTCAGCTCATGTGCTGAGGAAATCCGAAGCTGGCCCGTGTGCTGTTCCATGGGGTCTGGGATCTGCTGTGTCTAGAGCGCTCCGCAGCCCCCACACGGAGATCGGAGATCGAGGAGCTTCTGTTCCCAGACGGGAGGAGTGGCCGGCCATGGTGAGTGACAGACTACTTTACCCAGACTGGGGGGAGCGGCCATCTGAGCCGTGGGAGCCTTGTCCTCTCCAGGCTGCCTGGGAGTCAGCAGCCAGAGGCAGAGTTCAGCATGGTCCTGACTCGTCCTTTGTCGCCCTGGGAGTCCCACGTGTGACTTCCTGGTCCTGCGTGTCCTACATGATCCTTGCAACTTCCTGGGCTGGGTGGCAGTCTCTGAATAACTCAACTCCTTGGTCTGTGTCTGTGCAGAGCATTGGGAACAAGACTTAGAAATATCCATGTTGTTGATGTCACTGTGAAGTGCTGGCTCCTGTAATGCTTGTATTGTCACTATGGAAGGCAGATTTGCCAAACTCAGAAAGCCCTGGTGTCTGTAGAATCTTTAAGCAGTTCTGCATTTTCAACATTTAGGTTTAGCATCCATCTGTAGTTAATTTTGTGGAGCTGTTAAAGGGCATCTCCTGTGTAGAGTAGCACTCCACTGCTAAACTGTGATGTAGAAGAGTAGAATTGATGGTAATAGAATTGACGGTATAAGGATTTACCCATTTTTAGGAGACATTCAGTCACAAAGTAGAATTAAGCTAAGAGAGGGCTGTCTCCCAGATATCCCTAAGATAAGTAGTACTCTTACTGATGCACCCAGAGTTCCCTAAGGACCATCAAGAGACCAAATTCGATGCAAAAGCAGAGTCTTGCTATTCTTGCTAGTTAACTAGGGCCTCTTCATTCACCTGATGCAGCAGCAGAGCAGGAGAGACCCTGAGTAGCAATGGAGCAGTTTTTATTGGGTAAAGCAAGAGGGTTGTTGGGTTCTACAGACTACTTAGGAACAGACTCAGGATTGATGACCTTCCATCCAGAGTTGCTGTCCTTGGGTAACTTGCAGCTGCAGGAACTACTACTCTTTCAGCGGTTGCTGTGGTAACTCCATTCTTTCTTTATCATGAGTCCACTAGCTGTAACTTTTAATTGGCTTCTTCTACTATATGGGGGCATCTGAAGGGGTTTTCCTGTAACTAAAGGTAGACCCAAGGTTGGGGGCTCAAGGGCCCATTGTGCTGTTCCAGGGGCCTACATCCTGCTGGGTCTTTTCTGAAGCCTGTCATGGCTGCAGAATAGCCAAGGCAGGGGTCTAGGTAGGGGACTGGGTTCCTCACTTACCATGTTTTTAGAGGTTAGTATGGTAAGATTTAAATGTTTTCCTCAGGATTAACCAGCCACATCATCTGTAATTTCACAATAAAATCTAGAGAGTTCACTGACCCACAGTAAAGCAGGTGTAGTCACAACACAGAAAGGGTTGGCAAGAAGGAGGTGAAAGCTTTCCTCCTGTGAGAGGAGTTGACAGTAGCAATGAGTAGTGAGGTCATCGATTTTAGACATTCCATAAATGTCCTGACTGACCATTTCTCTGTTCCACAGACCAGACAATCAAGAATCTGGATAAAGAACTGAATTTTTGTGAAACAAAATTATAGTAGTTACACCAGTTTAACCTAAATAGAAGAACTGGATAAAATGATGTGACCCTGCCTAATGTGAATCTTTTCCATATTTAAGATGTACAACTTTGTGGGAGCCCGTTTTCAGGTTACTGGTGGCTTTACCCAGCAGGTCTGCATAGAGGAGGATGATTAGGACCACGGGCCTGAGTGCAGGTGTCTAAGATGGTCTGCACTTGGCTGTGCTGGGGGGAGGTCTTTTGCTTTACCCCTTGGCATCTCTATAAATACCCTGGAGCAGAGATAGTCAGGGCCTGTTGGAAAAGGTTCCAGATCCTCTCAAGGCTATCCTTTATTCTATCTGTTTATCTCCGAGATATAAATCCTCTATCTAATATTTCCTGCTGCTCGCACTCAAGAAAACTCTGGGGAGCTGTGGGGTTGGTGGGTAAACGCCCCACACAACCTGGGAGAAATGAATGAGTAGTACTTAGTGTGCTCTAGTACACATCCCTAGTCACTGGAGCACATGGCCATAAAGCCTGTTTCTACTTTCCAACATAGTTTTTTGGATTATAATTACCTCATTTCCACTATCACTTTTCTGTCTCCAAGCCCTCCCATCATTGTGTTCTAATCCATGACCTGTTTCAGCTTCCACAACAGTTACTGTTTGAATGTGACCTGTGTTTGGTGTCAGGACCTCCCAGCTCTGAAGCAAAGGGTTGGCTTCACTGGGCATTGAGTGTGTAATGGAATGTGCATGCAAAGGACTCTGTGAAGTGGAACAGGACGTGCTCTGGAAAATGGAAGATTCTATTTATTAAACTACAAAATTCCCAGACTAGTGTCCTTTCCGACCCTATTGTTGAAGGGCAGAGCTGGGAGGGTTTGTACAGTTAGAGACACTTGATCTCAGCTCACCCAATAGGGTAACTGCTAATGTCCTGAGGTCCAACTGGGTAGTCCTAATTAATGAGGAGCTTTGGGAAGGCATCAGGAGCATCAGTGGGAGGGAGCTTACAGGTTATTTCCAGGATTCTCTTCTGCTTCTGCTGTAGGGGGCTGTAAGGAATACCATAGCTATGCCATGGTGAGTGTGGGGGCCACTGTCCTCAAACTATGAAGAGCAGGTTGGCTGAGCTGTTAGAGTCTGAGCTGCTGAGATTAAGATGGACCATAAGCCAGACTGTTTCTGTTGGTCCCTGTGGTGACCTGGGCAGTGGCCCTTGGCCTCTGATCCTTACTGAGTATGGATTCCCTGGGGAGGAGAAGGCTCTGCCACCCTGGCAGGGGAGGCTATGATGCTTGTAATATCACTGTCCAGTGTGCACACACAGGCTTTGCTTCTGTGACAGTAGGAGTCTGGGAAGACAGATTGGAAAACTGAAGGTCTGGTTTCTGCAAGGTCTGGATGTTACTTTTCCCTTTCAGGTTTGTCTTATAGATGTTACAGACAGTTTAGAAAATGGTAGAAAGGGAGTGATGGGGATCATCCTTCAGCAATACATGATTAGAATGCTTTTAGCTTTCTGTTACTGCCAGCCACCATGGTGTGATTCAGTGAAGGTCAGTTTCAGGGGGACAAAAGGAAGCTCTGATCTGCAGAGCTATATCATGTTTGCATGGTTTTGGGCAGGTGGATAGGGCAGATGCCACATCTTGTGGGATGAAATAATCTATGTGGTTGGAATCAGACATTAAATTATTCTTCTACAGTGTTTTCTGTGTGGGCATCATTGAAGCTGGGTTTGCCTGAAAACACAAGGGAGCATGAAGGGCCACAGATTTGTAGCAGGATCTGGATGTTATGCCCAGATGCCTTCCCCAAAGATGCCACGGGAGACCTTAGGTACAGAAATCAAAATCAAGGTTTATTCAAATGAAGTTTACATGCCTCAGCAGGGGGCTTGTTCCAAATCTCTCACACACAGCAGGGAGGTTGGAAGGAGCAGGAGCCTTTCTTTGTGAGGCTAGTTCTTAAAGGCACAGACCACATAATTCATCTCCCACAGCCTGCCTCCCTCTTTTTTTGGTTCATATCAGTAGTCTTTCATGTTATCTTTATTTCTCATTTGTTCAGCAACCGTGTTTAGGAGTTTTAAGAGCTGTCTCCGGGGTTCGGGAAGTTTGGGATGTTTTATGACCACTTAGCCTCTGCCAGATGTTCTAATATCCTGACTCTGTGTTTTCTTAAGTTTCTGTAGCAGATACAGCCACCTGGGGAAAAGGGGTCTAAGTTCATATGTACACTTAGGAATCCTGGTTTAAGCTTCTCTTTGTCTGAAGGGGATGGAGTCAGGGAGGGGGTTTACTGAGGTTTCACACTGGAGAAGTTCACCACCCTTTGCAAAGATCATGGTACCTCTCTGGAAGAAGTATCAGTAGCCAGAGGGCAAAAGCATAGCAGTTTAAGGTTTACTATGAGCTAATTTTGTAAAAGTTGTGAAGTCTGGGTTTATTTAATTTCTATACACATGGAATCATAGGTAGGTGGGTAACATTGGTCAAGATCATACTTTTCCTGGCTGAGTTTCCTTTGGTCTTTTGATTAAAATTTTACTATATTTTCCTACTTTTGTTCTTTGCTTTTTCTCTCCATCCTCTTTAGTCTTTCACAACTGTACACATTCTTGATTGTTGCAGCTTTTCGGGTAAATATGGAAGTCACATTGTGTCAATGTGTGTATTATCTTTTCATAATCCCATTGAGCATTCTGAGTGTTTTGACTTTGCATGTAGCTTTGAAATCAGCTTTCCTATTTAAATTGTTGGGTATTGTCTTTGGATTGTGTTCAGTGTATGGTGCAAGTTTACCATACACAGCATCTTAATATTGATGCATCATGTTCCCAAGGATCATTTATTTACTTCTTTATTTAATTAGTCTTGTTCTTGTTCATCTGTGAAAGACTTTTGTTTTATTGGATAAACAGTATTATCTCTGAGTTCCTGTCCCAACACCCATGTTGGGTGTTTCATAACCACCTACTACTCCAGATTCAGGGTAACTGACACCCTCTTTTCTTGTGTGTCACCTATACACACATGGAAGTCATTCTCTTGAACATACGCTGTACACATAAAAATGGGGATACATTTACTTTAAAAGTTCTTATGACTTATAAATCAATTAGAGCAAGACAAATTGCTTTAGCTGTATAGTACAAATCATACCGTTTCTTTCAAAATCTGTGATCATGCATTTTATTTGAGAAAGTTTCCATTTCCTCCCTCTGATGCAGACTTACATCCAATCATCAATCATAGGAAACAAAATGGTTTCTAAGTGATCCTACCTTTGATGAGCAAGAAGGTAGATATGCATAGTTAGTATAACAAAAGCTATATTTGATTATGGTCATCACACAAGGTTCACCCTCTAAATTCCTAAATGTGGTTCTTAGTCTGTTTCCTTAAGGGTGCTCACCTATGTGACATATCCTAGTTGGAGTTCAGTTCCAGTCTCTAACAGAAGTCTCTGATTCAATGGTCAGAATTCTGGGGGAGATGCTCTAGCTGCAAGACTGATCAAGGTGATGTCTCTTCAGATGT